AAAAAAAAAAAAAACTCAGGGATAATGCCCAGGCCCTGAGTTCAAGACCTAGGATTAGCATAAAACTAAATTTAAAGAAAAATTACATTAACCCATGCGCAGGCAAACTGATCCTTCCAGGTGCTCCCAGGAAGATATACATCTGGCCTGTCCCAACTAGTAGAGACCCTGCATCACTAGGCTGGTGGTCCCTCTCCCCTTGGGGGCACTGAAAGCCCTCCCCAAGAAAATCACTCAGACATATGGTCACATACAAGGAAAAGGAGTTTAATGTCAGTAACTTGACAGGCTACCTCGAGTGCACAGAGTAGCCGCTAGGTAGGGCAGTAGCACAGAATGTGAGAGTGGAAGGGGTTAATATTTACAATTGTAGCTCCACAAACAAGGGAGAGGGAACTTGCATTTTGGGGAGGGGCTGCAATTTGAGATCGCAGCTACCTGGCTTTTTGGAAAAAGCCTGTGTCACCTGCTTTGCGGGAAAGGCCTGTGTCATCTGATTTTGGGGAAAGGCAGTTTTGTTTTTGCCAAAGATCTAAGGTGGAAGACTGGGTAGGAAGATGGAGGAGATTAGGCTAACATTCCCCCCTTTTTGTTTATTTTTGACAGAGGTACCACGTTAGCGTGTATGGGTGAAGGTCCCCCTTCTGTAACTAGTTCCTGCTGGATAATGGGCAAAGTTACATGGACGTGTTTGGATGAGGAGCAGTGTGGTATTGTCCCAGGGACATTTGATCGACCATCTGGTTGGTGAAGGCTCTTGCTCTTTCTGTGAGGATGTTTTGCAGGCATCGAACAATGCAAGGTAATATTAAAAGTAAACAAAGATGGCTGTAAGAGGACCCAGCAGGGGGAACATTCACGTGGCTAGCAGGATAGCTGCAGAGATGAGGGAGAGGTTCTAGCACATAAATCGGTGACAAGCTCATCTAGTGTCTGGATAATTTGTTTACTTGTCCTGACATGTTCACATAGTGGCAACACTTTTAAGAAAATGCATGTCCCACCTTTTTCCATAATGAGGAGGTCTAGTCTAGGGTTCTCCCATTTTGGAGTGTGACATCAGCCAAAGAATTGAGCTTGTGAAAGGCATAGGGCCTTGGAGGAGCCCTCAATAGAGGAGAGTAGACATTCGCTAAGTTGGTTAGATGTTATGGAATGGTAGAGACTTCCACCAGATAGCCCTATGGAGATGATGGAGGATACTAAACTCACCCCCACCAGGACTGGGAGAAAAATGGCCTGTCTCTCTGTCTGCCTGGATGTGGGTATGAGATGAGGGTGCTTCAGGTTTTGAACTTAGTGTGGGAGTACAAAGTGGATTGTGGAATTGGAGAGACCAGGATGTGGAGGGAGGGAGAGACTGGTCAAGGAGGAGCTGTACCAAAAGATGGTTCCACTGGGGCTGTCCAGGGTCTTGGTAATGGAGATGATTGTTTGGCACATGTTGGGATTTGACTGGACACCGGAGGAGTTATAAGTTGTATGGCATAGCATGGGGAAATCAGTATAA